TCCATATTTAGTTTAAAATTTATTTATTATTTAAAGCATATTTTTTCATCTAAAATATTTTTATTATAAAATAGATGCTAAAAATGTATATTACCTTTGCCGCGCAAGCTAATCATGAACTCCATCTAATAAAAATATTTTGAGAATTAAGTTCAAGTATACTCCAACTTAGAGAAGCCAAGAATTTTAAACCTAAGATTCAGAATAAAATTTAAATTTAAATGAATATAGAATTTAGGTATCATTTTTGCAACTGCATTGATACAGAATAGAGAAATCCAAACTGTTGTAATTGTTGCAGAATTAATTATAAATAGTGATGTAATATCATTTGCTATTTTTCTGGGTATTTTCTTTAATTGTTTTGCATTAAGAATCTCATCAATAAATTCTGATAAATTAAAAAACTTTTAGATAAAGTTAAATTAAGCAAATCCAAAAAGCTCAAAGTACGTTTACAAATTATATGGGAGTTAAACATTAATATATTTCAAATAAGATAGCATTTAAAGAGTATCTAACAAATTGAAAAAGACTTCAACTCCTCCGAATATCACTCATCCTACACACATTGTTCCAATAAAGTAAAGCACATAATTATTACTTTCGGTTGTTAATTGGACTTGAGTAATAGTAACATCATCTATGAAAGTCACTTTTGGGAAAAGACAAAAGACTTCTGTTTCAATTTGGGAGTATCCTTCATTTGAAAAAATGACGGAGTTATTTAAGAATTTGATCAATAGAATTTCATCTTGTGAACTTCTAGTGAAGGTGATATTTATCATCAAATTAAATTCAGATTAATTAAACTTATTAATCTAGGAAATATCTTGGATTAATTGAAAGTTCTAATAAATCTATTTAACACTATTATTGCTTTAAATATGAACGGATAGATAATCTTTTATTTGGAAACCCTCAGTTATAACAATGTGAGTGGTATATGATTAAATAACCTGATACCAAAATAAACCTAAGAAGTGTTTATGCTATGTAATAATGGTTTTGGATAATTTGAAACGATACTTACTCCATTCAGAAATATATAATTTTCTTCTAGCATACATTAATCATCACATCCATCACCTTTAACAAGATTTCCATCATCACATTCCTCTTCCTTTGTTTTAATTTAATCACCACATTTATTTAAACAAGTTCTATTTATTTCATCTGCGTAATATCCTGATTCACAGACTTAACATTTCTGATTCTTCTCTTAAGAAAACTTACAACTAATACAATTATAAGCTTAATCAATGCATTTGACACAATTGATTGAACATTATACACAATCATTTTTATCTAAGAAATAGCCAACTTGGCATTTAATACATTAGGATTTTTTTGTCTATGGATTCAGTAGGCATTAAATGCAATTAGTTGAACATTAAAAACAGATTGATTACTTTAGTATTTTATTAAAACAAGAGAAATTATGATCAATCTTACAATTAGAACAGCCATCTCTATTTACATCATTTCCATCATCGCATTCTTCTCCATATGTCCAAATTTAATCTTAACAATCTTAATATCTACATTTTTCTTAAGATTTATCCAATTAATCCTAACATGAGATACAAACTTCATCTTCACTTTCGAAATAATTTTAAGTGCACACACATTTGTTATTATTTAAAATTCTATTTAGTCTTTATTCACAACTTAGGCAATGATATTAATCATTTATACAACTTAAACATGATTAATAACATTCAGAACAACTCTTTTAATTCCAGAAATAACCTGGACTGCAATTACATTAAAAATTGGAATCTATCTGTAAATTGGATACAGGACACATTCCTAACATATTGTTTTACTTAAACAGGTTTTACATGGATATTCACATCTATAGCAGTGATTTTACTCTTCATTGTATCCATTTTGACAAATAAATTAATTATTAGAATTTATTTCATAATTGGATCTACAAGTAATACATTAATCTGATAATTCATTACATGTTAAGCAATTATGATTACATTGTTCACATTTCTAATCCAGTACATAATATCCAATTAAACATAAATCGCAATTTAATGAATTGCTACTCATTTAACAAGAAGGAATGCATACTTAACATTATGTTAATTAATTTATACAGTATCCCTCTTAGCAAACTTAACAATTTGTTTGATTGGAGCAAATATCACAATTTTCAATACATTATAAAGACATTCATTAATAGTATTGATACAATTAGCACATGGATTTTGACATTGAAGACATAAAATATTTTATTAAAGATATCCAGGTTTACAAATACATTGTTTATTTGAATCTCAAATTTGGTTTTCATCTATGCAGTTTATACATCCATTTATATCACATTCAAAACAAGGTTCCTCACATTTTAAACATGTTGTTAGAGAATTAAAATAATATGTTGATTAGCAAACACATTATGATATCATATTAAGTTCATGATGAAGATCTGTACAAATCAAACATTTAGATGTAGATATTTCACAAGTTTTATATGGTTATATACAAGGTATACAGAAATAATTGTCATCAAATATCCATCCAGATTCACATAAACAAAATTCAGGTTATTAATGTACTAGGTCTTTACAGATAACACATTTATTTATTGTATCTACACAAGTAATACATGGTACTTAGCATTTGATGCATGTAAGACCATCAGTATTAAAAATCCAACCTGTTTTATATACACATTGATGAAATATTAATCAGTGATTCTTATTTGATTCGCAAGTTTAGCATGGACTATCACATTGTTAACATGTTTAAGAATCATTATAAAAATAGCCAGATTAACACTGATATTTATATTGTATATCCTAACTTAATGTAAAAGTAGAGATGCATTTGGTCCAATCATTTGGATTATTTTCACACTTTGAATATGGTGATGTACAAAGCTAACATTAATTCGATCCATCACTAAAATATCCATCATTACAAACACATTAAAAATTGGCTGCTGTTCTATTACTGTCAAAGCATGTAGTACATTTATTTGAATTGTTGATACAAGCAGAGCATGGGGATGAACAAGGAAGACATTATGAGCTCGAAAGGAATTTGCCATCATCACATGATGTACACGCGATACTTGAACCTAGACATGTCTTACAAGAATTATCGCAAACTGAGCAAGTAGTTCCGATTATAAAATATTGGTCTACACAGGATTGTAAATTAAAAGATAGATTATTAAATTAATTATATTTTTATCCACAATACAGTGCTAGATGTGCAAGTAGCACACTAACTAGGGCATGCTAAACAACTTTAAACAGATTTATAAAACTTTGGAACACATGTTGAGCAATTGCTAGAACTACTACAAACTAGACAATTGCTTGAACAAGCAACACATTTTTGCAATATATTCTTATAAAATCCGGGTTGGCATGTGTAGCATGTCGAAGGAACAAAACAACTTATGCAATTAGATGAGCAACTCTCACATGAGCCATTAAAATCTACATATCCTGGATCACAGCCCCAAGTTACTAAATTAGTAATATAAGCCATTCTTACATGTAATGCACATTAGAATAATGATTTTTAATAAGTAGTTGGACATTAAAAAAACAATTAATAATATTTGAAGAAATTGATGATGTGATTAGGATTTCATTAATATAATGATAAAAATATAATTATAAATCATGAATAAGTTTTATTTACTTTTAGAGACTTAATTTAATTGTAACTTGTAGATTTCTATATAGAATTTTTTAAGAACTGCTTTAGTTCTTATAATTGTTTAAGTAGCTTGTACCTGTTTAACTCAATAAAAACAATTTTAAAGTGAAAAACAAAAAGAAAAAACTTAAATATTATGAAATAATATTGACTCCTCATCTTAATATTTCAAGCAACTTAAACAAAGTCTCCTAAAACTTAAAACAAGGTTATCACAAAAATTAGATCATTTGTTTTTGCTGAATACCATAAAAACTTAAGTTTTTAATATTTAATAAAAATAAAAGGAAAACCATTATATATTTTAAGTTTTCTCATTTTTTGTATAATTATCAATTTTCTAATAGGTAACTTCGTTTTTATTCCAATAATTTTTTAAGATCTATGCCTGATTGATTCTCAAATTATCCATCGAGAATTAGGGCTCCCTATGATTAAAATACAATTTAATTGGATATAACAAGGATTTGGTAATCAGAGTAAACTTTATAATTTAAACAAATACCATCTTCTGAAAGAATATTGTTTTAAAATAATTGAGTTTTAGATTAAATTAAAACATCTTTGAAAGATTAATCCGTACGCTCAATTTATAATTCAGTCTAAGCATCCCATAATCGAATAGAGTTATCAACACTACCTGATGCTAATGTAGAACCATCAGGAGAGAAGCATACTGATCGGACAGTGCGTGTATGTCCATCCTTTTTGGCTTTTTATAGTCCTGTCTTAACATCCCATAAACGGATTGATTTATCTGCACTGCCCGATGCTAATGTGGTCCCATCAGGAGATAAGCATACTGAATAGACATTGCTAGTATGAGTATCAAATTTAGCTTTTTATTAACCTGTTTTTACATCCCACAAACGAATTGATTTATCTGCACTTCCAGATGCTAATGTAATAACATCAGGAAAAAAGCATATAGAGTAGACATAACCGCGATGACCGTCCATTTTGACTTTTTATTTTGCTGTCTTAATATCCCATATACGAATAGAATTATCGTGACTACCAGATGCTAATTTAATGTCATCTGGGGAGAAGCAAACTGAGTTGACCTAATCACTATGACCATTCATTTTGGCTTTTTATTTGGCTGTCTTAACATCCCACAAACGGACAGAGTTATCTGCACTACCCGATACTAACGACATACCGTCAAGAGAGAAGCTTACAGATAGAACAGAACTAATATGGCCTTCCAATTTGGCTCTTTATTATCCTGTCTTAACATTCCATAAACGGATAGATTTATCATAACTACCTGATGCGAGTGTAGTACCATCAGAAGTGAAACTGATAGAGCTGACTCCGCCACTATGGCCAGCTAGTTTGGCTTTTTATTATCCGGTCCTAGCATCCCAAAAACGGATAGACTTATCTTCACTACTAGATGCTAATGTAGTACCGTCAGAAGAGAAGCATACCTAGTTGACATCTTATGTATGACTGTCCGATTTTATTTTTTATTATCCTGACTTAATATCCCACAAACCAATAGATTTATCTTCACTACCAGATACTAATATAGTATCATCAGAAGAGAAACATACTGAGTAGACATAATGTATATGACCATCCAATTTAGCGCATTATTGCCCTGTCTTTACATCCCATAAACGAATAGAATTATCATGACTTCCAGAAGCTAATTTAGTTCCATCAGAAGAGAAGCATACTGAGTTGACCCAATGAGTATGACCATCCAATTTGGCTTATTATTATCCTTTTTTAATATCCCATAAACGGATAGATTTATCATAACTACCTGATGCAAGCATAGTACCATCAGGAGAGAAACTTATTGAGTTGACTCCACCACTATGGCCATCTAGTTTGGCTATTTTTTTTCTGGTTTTTACATCCCATAAAAGGATAGAGTTATCGTAACTTCCTGATGCTAAAGTAGTACCATCAAAAGAGAAGCATACTGATTGGACTGATTTAATATGATCATCAAATTTGGCTTTTTATTATCTTGTCTTATAATCCCATAAAATGACAGAGTTATCCCAACTACCAGATGCAAAAGTAGAACCATCAGGAGAGAAGCATACTGATTGAACTGACTTTTTATGACCATCTAATTTGGCTTATTCTTATCCTGTCTTTACATCCCATAAACGAATAGAAATATCGTGACTACCCGATGCTAACGTGGCACCATCAGGAGAGAAGCATACTGACATTACTCCCATACTATGACCATCAAATTTGGCTTTTAATTATCCAGTCTTTATGTCCCATAAACGGATAGAGCAATCTCCACCGCAAATATAAAAATGCCCACTGCCTGATGCTAATGTACTTCCATCAGGGGAAATACAGACTGAATTTACCCTATCACTATGACCTTCAATTCTATTCAATTCATTGATTTTCATGTTCTTCCATTTGCAATTAAAGAGTAATGCTCCATTCAAATTAACTCCACTGATATCTACATTATTGAATTCCGATCCACTCAAATTACATCTAACAAAATTACCTCCAATTAAAGAAGTGTTCTCAATCTTGATATTTTCAAAGCAATGGTACCTTAGATCAATCTTCATTTCAACTAATAAATTTAATGAATTTGATCCGCATACTATAAATTGGTTATCTATTCCTGTGAGAAGTACTAAAAATTTTAAAAATTAAATGATCTTCTTATTCTCTACGATTGCCTTCCTTAAACCTTTTTTAATTTCTAAGTATTTTTCAGATTAAAAATTATTTTTATTAAAATCATGAGCTTTAATTTATTTGAGAATATTAGATATTGCCTTAATGTTATTCTTTATAACATTTAACTTCTATTTCATATCCTCAGATGATAAATCTTCCATCTTTAGAATTTATTACTCAAATTGCTTTTGATGCTCATCTTTTTAAAGATATCGTAGGCTATCTGATATATTTTCTTATTTTAAAATTTTAATCATATGTCTGAATATTTATTCATCAACATCCTTAACCTATGCAAAAACCTCATATAGACCTTCTGTCTATTCATTAGAATAATTCATAATTTTAATATATTTAATTTCTATTACTTTTATATTAAGCTTTAAAATATAAAAGACCAAATATTACAAATAACAGATAGAAATTTTAATTGACCTATTGATATTTTTTTTGTATATTCTTAAAGTATATAGAATTTATCATTTATATTTTTAGGAGTTAATTATATAATCTTTAGTTTTAGTTGCCTAAATAATTTCCTTTGAACTAATGTTTTTCTGATAACCTCAAAATCACTTTAAAACTACTAGTTTTAATTTTCAATTTAACTAAAATATCATTGTCTTTTTTTCTATTTCTATCCAAAAATGTTCATTGTTATTTATTTAAACTTTCAAATAATTATGAAATATTTTTATGCTGTATATTAAAATTTATAAAAGAAGGCTCATACATAAATTATTTTTATAATTTCTATATGATTATATTCAATTCATTAGGATGGCTTGATTGTATATTTTCCATATACGAAATATTTTGATCATCTAGGGTGTTCTGCATCATTTCCCTGAGAGTTGTGTAATTGAGGATTCTCAAAATGACATAATAGTTTAAACAATTAAATATAAGATTCATCTTTAAATGAAATAATTACTTTAATTCTGATTGAACCATATTATAACAACTATTATACTAAAAATAATTATCATATATTTTATGTTCAAATTTTTTGCTAAATATGAATAAAAAAGATTTTACCAAAAAAATTAAAATTGTAGATGATATAAATGTAAAGTATTAAACGTGGAAAATATATTTTATTTGTTTGCAATTGCAATCAGTGAATCAAATACTAACAATTTTAATAGTATTCAAAGATTAATAGCAAATAAGTCTTCCAAGAAGTTAGAATCCAATTTGTTGCTGTCAGTAAATAATAAGCATAAAGTAATTGAATGACCAAAATGCATTAATAAAGATTTTATTAAAATAATCATCTATCAATTATGAGAATCTGTGAAATTGCTTAAAGAAAAATCAACATAAACATATGTACATTAGATATCAACCTAAAAGAATGAATCATATTCAAACTCAAAATAAATTTGTTATTTACATTTTTTAACTTATCTTGTAATTAAATGAAGTTCGGAGAAATTGTTTCACGAGAAAAAAAATCAAAATATCTCAAGTAAATACAACATAGGCTAATATATTATTAATCAAATCGCTTTTAATCTAAATGTCAAGTTCAAAATTAAGATTGATTTAAGATAAGTAATTATCCTACATAAAGCTTTTTCCAACTTTTAAGTATAGACTAAAATTAAAAACTAAAAGAAAATAAATAAATTGATGCTAATTAATTGAAAATTACTCACCTTTATGAAGAAAACAATCAGATCCTTCAGGGTTAATATGTATTTTCCTTATCAATATTTTTAAAGCTTCTTCTTTGTTATCCAGAGTTAATAAATTTATTTATTTTCCTTTAAAAGATAAAGCCATTGCTTAAGGGTTACTAATAATCAGAAGCGTCTAATTTAATGATTCGATGGCATCTTAAAAGCAGCCTTAAAATATTATTATGACTCATATAAGTTGATGAAAAAACATTATTGCTTAAGCTAAATTTATAATTAACCAAAATTATAATAATTTAAATGATGATAAATCTATTAAATAAATTTAATTACCTTGTAGTTGAACGCCTCTGCATTCATTAATAATTAAGATTTAAGATATAATTAATTTAATAACAAAAATCTTTATGAAAGCCCTCTGCAGTCACTAATAATATTAATTGAAAAATGATAGAATAATTTATAATGAAGAAGAAAATAATAGATGGCATTGTTTGAATCTATAAAACAATTAGGAATAAGAAATATTTCATTTAAATCGTGGTACATATAAATTAGTTATTTCAGATATTGGATAATATTTGGATTATGGTTGGCATATAAAATAGTGATTAGCTTTCAAAATAAGGAATTATCATTATGAAACATAAATTTTGATTAAATAATTTTCTCTATAATTGTAAAGCCTAATAGATTTGAGATAGAATTAGAATTATAATTTGGTTATAACAAAGTAAATAAATATTAAAAGTCATACCTTCATAAAGTTATGATATTAATCATAATTTAGTAAGAATGCTCCAAGTTAATTCCATAATGCATTAATTATCAGCAAAGAATTGCTTAATCTTCAAATTCAGTTATTACAGATGAAAAGGTTTACTTTGTAATCGATAGCTAAATCACAATCACTAAAATTAAATGATAATTTTTTTTTATTGAATAGTCATTAATTAATAGATTTCTTATATTGATGTTTTTATCAGTTTCAGTCAGGAAAAACATGAAATTGAGAATTTTTGACACTAAGACTATTACAGAATTTTATTAAATGTAAACTTTGAAGAAATTATTGAAAAAATGTAATTGAATAATTTATTTATTGTTTTGGATTTATCAACCTAAAATTTTCAATTTATTGAATTATAATTTTAAAAGTAATAGCTAATACTTTTATATTTAAATATCTCGAAATTTTAAATTTTTAATTTAAGAGCCTAAGTTTTTTATGAAAAGATAATTTTTATATAAATTATTAATGCTCTCTACTTAACTCCCATTTATGATCACAAAAATTAGAACCACTTTAATTAGATTGGTTTTTATTCATATTAGATATGATTTAAAAAAATTTATAGTAAGCTTCAGCTTTTTAAACTTGTAATCCCACATCTCAATATAATTTTTATTCTTCTATCTTTTGACATTACCATTAATATTTTATATCCTTATCAACCTATTAAGTTGAATTTGCTGCGAAAATGGTTTTTGCTAAATTACTATAATAAATCTTTGTTTCAGTATTATTTTTGATAAATACCAATTTTTGATACAATCTGTCATAAATATCATAAAACCATATTTTTTTTATTCAATTCATATTTTGATAGAGATCTATTTATATAGATTATTCTTTATAACACTATACAAAACTAAATTCTCCTAATAATTTATAAATAGTGTCTCTTAAGAACATTCCATCATTATTTGAAATTGGTACATTTTGATAATTTTCTAAAATTCATTTAGGCTAGAATAAGTTACCAATATTTTAGAATAATAAGCAGCATCAATATCAATAAGAGAAATTTTTTAGTCATTTTTTTGAAAGCATGAATGCCAACCTCTTTGGCATTCATTGTTATTGCTTAATATCTATTCATCAGTAATCTAACAATTGATTTAATTTATGATTAAATATTAATTAAATTTGAAAAAAGTTAGATTTGCGATAATTCCAATTAAATATAAAAATCTTCTATTTTTTTCTACATCTTCTACAAATTTAAAAAAATGATTTTTATAAGATCTTTTACTTCACTCAAAAATATCGAAAATAATAATTAATTTCTTTTATAGAATTAATAAATTTAAAGGTTTGTTTTCTGATTCGGAATTAGATTAATATTAAATTATGAACTTCTGAAGTTTTATATTTTTCATGAAAAATTCTCCAATTTTCGAAAAACTCAACAAAGGATTATATTTAAATTTCTCTTTTTTTTGGTTGTACAGAAATAGAAAATTGTAACGAATTTTAAAATATGATTAATATAATTTTTTTTTCACTTTATACTGTTACTTGCGATATTAATATTAGCCAAAATAAAAATAGGACTAATCTGTGTAATTAGTGTTTTGATATTTTTCAAATTTTTCTTTTTCCATAATATAAATTATTTTTTCTCTCATCAATAAAAAAAATTAAAAAATATTGTAATTTGAAAAACTTATTTCTTTAATACTAAATTCAAACTACTCTTTTAAAGAAAAGATTTAAATCCAAACCTCGCACCTAATCTTTTTGAATTTTATTTTAGTTATATGTTGATTTCATTTTATTATTTTATTTTCAATTTTTGAACTTGCCATCAAATTAAATCTTATCTCTAAGCCGAAAAAATTATTTAAAATTGAGAATTGGTCAATAAAATTAGTATTACTAATTCAATTAGTAATTTTAATAATATAAATGATACCTTTTGAGATTTTAATTTCATTGTTTAGTCAGCTAATAACACTTGTGTAAACCTTTCAATTTTAGCATAAGTAATTCTTGTAACTAGCTCAGCAATTTTCAAATAGTATATATAAAACATATACTGAAAAATATCAATCGCCTTTAGAATTTTCTTATTACCTCATCGTTCTTTTTTCATTGGTTAAGATTAGGCTCAATTTTGATTTCCATCAAAGTTATTCTGGATCTTATTCTATGATCATTCTTTGTCACTAATAAACTGATAACATCCTGCACAATCGGTTGATAAAAGTGTGAAATTCGATAATTGGTTGCAATTCAGCTAAAAAATTGGTTTACAAAAATTGAAAACTTCTTTATTTTGGCTTTTATGCCAAACACAGTTTTGATACCTTGTTTAACACAGTATTCATTAAGTAAATTAGTAAAAATAGTATAATAAGAATACTGGCATCGCAGTTTTTACCACAATTAAAATAAAAGACGATAACCAAAAATTTTATTAAGGTTTTAGAAAAAGAATACGAGAATCATATAATGATAGAGATTACATAATTTTTAAGACTCATTCATTTGTTAAAACTTTTTTTACTCTTAACTTATAATCTAAAACTATTTTCAATTATAAATATTTGATTTGTTTATTTGTGTGGAGGGTAGTCTTTAAGATAACCCAAGTTATAAAATGGGCTTAATTTTATACGTTTTATTTATACTTTCCATACTTTGTACTTTTAGTGTGTCAGATCATTCCGTTATGGTAATCTTTTTGAACCAAATAAACTCAATTCTGCTTTATAATAGAAAATAAATTTTACCGATTAATGAATACCGAAGAAAAGTTAATGGCCAGGGTTTCTTTAATATCCAGTTAATGCTTTAAAAAAATAGATTAACTTTTTATCTCTCAAGCTTTGTTGGAGCATTGTTCAAATGCATCTTCACGAATACAACATATTCTCAAATTAGATTTGACTACTTAAATCATTTAATTAACTTAGAATAAATGTAACTATGTTTGAATTTTAAATCAAAATATAATTAAGTAATTTCTCATTAAAACTCATTTCAAAATCTTAATGAATATGTATCAAAAATATTATGAGATGATGTAAACTCACGAGAATATATATAGTTTTGATATAGAAGGAGATTAATTTTTAATATATAAAGTTTTGATTATTTTTGACTCATTTATTCTTATATAAATTATCTATATATAATAGATCAAACAAGGAATTTGATTGGATTAGCGATTATCACTTTAATAGCTGAATATTGCCATAAAAGGCTCTATGCCTAACCCATTATCAAATGCATTTAAGATATTCTATGACACAAATAACCAAGTAAACAAATATTTTAAATTAATTTTAATTTTAGGGATAAAATAATTTATCATTTAAATTAATATACTATTTAAAAACAATTTCGGCTTTTTAAATAAATATCTTAAATTTTTTGATTTAACAGTTATTAACTTTTTTTATAATTACTAGTTTAAGCAGTAATATTTATCTTCTCCATTTTAACTAGAGAGACTTTTTAATATACTAAAAACTGGTGCTTTCTTGGCGTCATGCAGCATCATTGAAAACATTTCTTTTTAGATCTACCTAGTTGATAATTTTTGATTTTCCTCAAAAAAATTGAAAATTATTTACTTAAAATCTTCTTCTGTTATGGTAACCATAAAGTTTTAATTCAATTTTCCCAATCGAACAATATTGATAACCAAACCTAAGGATTGTTTAAATCAAAATTTAATTATTAAGCTGTACTTATCTTATATATTTGAACTTTATTTTCATCATATTTATCACCTCCTCTGTTATTTTAATTTAATATTAATTAAATAATTTCAAATTAATTAATTTATTTCTTTTTATTTTTTATATTTCAATTTCCATAATTCTTTCCATACATCTTTTCTTCTTAACAAAATTATTGTAAGTTGATTCTCCAAATTAAAATAATATTTATGCTTTTCATGATTTGTTGTTGTTCATTATTTCATATTATGTTAAATTAATATTCTATTTGATAATTCATTTTTATAACTACCAACAAAAACCACTTTAAATTATTGATGCTTTATAAATTAAAAATTAATACTCCTGATAGTTATGATGAATTTCTAAGCTCTTCCCTTTTATTATTTACTTTTAAAATTTCCCCCACCACTAAATATAAGTATAATAAATACATTAATTTATTTTTGTAAACAGGGATTAATTATATAATAATGTACCAACATCCCTACTTATTTCCAACTTAAATTTTAAAAACATCAATTATCATTTAACTTTAATAAGATAATTATAATTTCATCCTCCACTTGATA